CCTCCTCATTCTGAAACTCTGTCCCCCTCGGCTTTGGGGGAATGCAGCCTTTTTTTCCTTTTCCTTCTCACTTTTGCATGTTTTTACTGATCGTTCAATATGCTAACCGTTCTCAGCCCTGAGCCTGGAAGAGGAGCTTTCCACACCTCCAGTCAGATTCAGGTGCTCTCTGGAGATGAAACTCTGAAATGCTTTGTATATTTTCTCAACTAGATCCCTTTTCAGAAGTGTCTGTAGAACAATAAAAATCTTTGCCTTCTGACCTTGACTTGGGAGCGGCAGGGAGGGGTGGGCGCCCGGTGGGCCGAGGTGGGGCCGTTCCCAGGTTCAGCTGAAGAGGGTCTGTGTCCCCGCAGTCCTCACAGCTCACCAAGCCAGGTGGATTCACGTTGCACAGGGAGGAGGAGGAAGGGGTTTGGATACCGGAAGTAACTCACCCAAGGTCATGCTGTTTTCAAGTGCCCATAAACCACCCCATTTAGTTCCACACGCAAGATGACATCATTATTGCTTGTCCTTAAGCACGAGGATGATGTAGTGTTCTGCACGGTTTGGGGATCTGAGCTGAGGTTGGCATGAGTCACGGGGTTGTATTCTGCAGGGAAGGAAGCGGTGGGAGAGGCAGCCCAGAACGCTGGCCGGTCGGGGCGGGTGGGGGGGGACCCCAGAGGCAGGACCTGGGGCAAGTGTGGGTGCCGACGCCCTTGGGGCTGGTCTGGCTCAATAATCCTGTGAGGGACATGAATGACTCAGGTTAGTGCAGACACACCCTTGTTCTCAAAGGCAGTCTCGCCCAGATGTCAATCTACATGCAGTGCATTCACATAATGCTGATAGGATTTATTGTATAACTTGACACAGTTCTTTTGGGAAAGTCAACATGGGGAATGGTCTGGTAAAACCTCAGAAGGGGAAAGAACAGCCTCCGGTATTAAGCATTATAACCTACCGTAATTAAGGAGTTACATGTAGCAAAGGAGAAGGTCAATGGAACAATGGAGGGCCTGGAGATTGTGTTAAATGTAAGAAAATTTAATGGGGAGCATGTGTGGGTTCTTTTTAATGGAACAGCTGGCTAACCATTTTGACAAAAATTCACCTGGATCCTACTTCCCTGTAATGTTAATTCTGGAGAGACCAAAGTTTTTAAGTATGAAATGAAGCCATGAAAGTACCTAACTGATTTAAAGCCATCTTAGACGAGGGAGAGCAAATTTACGTACAGCCAAACACCACAAAGTCCAAAGATTTACAAGGGCGGCAAGCTGGGGGGAGATGCTTTTGAAACCTAGGACACAGAAAGGGCTGTTTTCCTCAATATGCAATGTTCTTACAAACATGAACAACCCAAGAGCTACATAGGCGAAGACTATGAACAATCTTTGCAGAGTAAGGGAACTACAAGTGGGTCATTGCTTAAACATGAAAAGATGTTTAATTGCAGGGCTTTTTATTAAATATTTTACACTGTGAAGCATTTACTCCATATAAAATACCGCATATAAGTCACAGGGATATAAATGATGAAGCATGACCAGCGTGCATCTGGAGACCCACCAGCCAACTAATGAGACAGAAGACTGCCAGTAGCGCTGATTTCCTTGGTGCACTGCTCCCTTTGCTGCTTACAAACCACCACCCAGACTTAATGGCCCAACACAGCAGTTGACTGTTTTTCCTGGTTGCCAGGCATGGCTGAGTTTGGCCAGCTCTCAGGAGCTGTTCCCTCGTGCTTTGCATTCAGCAGGGGCTTGGCTGTGCTCTGCGCCCAAGGTGCCCCTCCCCTCCCACGCCTCACTCAGCCCACGGCCTCCAGTCAATACCCTGGCCTTCCTTAGAGTTTGGCAACCAAGCCTCAAGCGGGAGGAAGCCAGAGGCGTTAGTTCTCTTAAGGCCTGGAATCCAAAGTTCCAGAACGTTCTTTCATTGCATTGTTGGTCAAAGCAAGTCACAAAACCAGCCCTGACTTAAGCGGAAGGGAAGTAGACCAACTCTAGATGGGGGGAGAAGCATTCATGCTCAGGGATGCAGGGAACGTTGGCTCCCATGTTTGGAGACCACCCCCCACACACACACACCCCAGCCCCTCCCCTCCATATCCTGTGCGGGACACTAAGGACATCTATTCTTTGGTCTAAAGACAACCATGAAAATGTGTCAATTTTCCATATATTAGCCAATTTCTTTATATTGATTGGCCAATCCAGGGTAATTAGTAATGCCTATTCTGAGTTTCTCTGCTTTGCTTTATAATTCTACCACATACCTATGAACACCTAGTGCAGTTTTACTTCGATTTGAACGTTACAAAAAGTCCTAAAATACATGTCTTATTCTCTGACTTGTCTCTTCCCACAACCCTTTATTTCGAAGATTCATCCATGGTAATGCCTACATTATTTAATCCACTTATATGACTGTCCATCAGTCTATATGTGAATATGCAATTTAACGACCTACCCATCTTCCTAACAACGTGCATAGGTTCTTTCCAATTTTTTATCATCACAGCAATGCTTTAAAGAACATCTCTTTTATAAGGCATCTGGTACACCTGTGTAAGAGAAGTGGAACATTGGGTCCCAAGTAAGCAAACATTTAAGCCACAAAATTCTGCCATATTGCTTTTTTATAAGGAATTGAACCAATTTATATTCCTACCTGTGCTGCATAGGTGTTCTCCTTGTTCCACACCCTTGCCAATACCTAGTGTTAACAACCTTTGGGGTTTGGGGTGTTTTTTTTGGTTTTGTTTTGCTGATGGACTGAGGGTAACATGGTATTTCATGATGGTTTTCATTTTCACTTTCCCGATTACTAGGGAAGTGGGACAAGTTTCATATGTATTGGATCCTCAAATTTCCTTTTCTGTAAAACACCTGTTTGTGTTCTTGGGGCACCTGAGTGGCTCAGTCGGTTAAGCCGCCAACTCTTGATTTCAGTTCAGGTCATGATCTCAGGGTCCTGGGATCTGAGAGTCTGTTAGAGGATTCTCTCCCTCTGCCCCTCCCCCGACTCACACATGCAGTCTCTATCACACACAAATAAATAAATCTTTAAAAATTTTTTAAAAATGCCTTTTTTGTGTTCTTTGGCCTATTTTTCTATTGGATGCTTTGTTTTCTTCTTACTGGCTTGTTGAAGTTCTTTATATGTTTATGTATCTTACATAATCTTTATGTATTTTGTCACTGGTGTGTGGCAAATATCTTGCCCAAATTTATGACTTGTTTTTTTTTTATTTTCTCTGTTGTTTCTTTGATGAACAGAAACTATTGGTTTTAATGTAGTCAAATTCATCCCTCTTTTTCTTTATGATTGTGTCTCATTGCATCATTTCAGAAATCCTTCCTATCCCAACATTGAGGAGATTTGATCTTATATTTTCTTCTAATCCTCAAGGATTATGTTATAATCCTTCTAATGTGTTGTATATTACATTTAAACCTTCCCCAGTAAATTATTCCCTGGTATGGTGTGAGGTTGGGTAACCATTTGTTCTTTTTTTATTGTTTTCCTTTCCCCACTGAGCTACAGTGTGTGTCTACAATGCTCGAGTTTCCCTGCGTGGAAGGTCTATCTCTGGGCTTTCTGTTCTGTCCTATCAGGTCTATCCTTTGGACCATAATCAGTCCATATATCTGGTAGTTCAAGTCTCCTACCTTGATTTTCTCCAGCAGCGCCATGCCTTTTCTCAGCCCTTTGTTTTCATATGTATTTTAGAAACAGTTTATCAAGTTCCATGAAATATTCTGTTGAGGTTTTAATGGACTTGTGTTGAACCTATATATCCACTTGCTGAGAACTGAGATCATTATGATACTGAGTGTCCTGATCTATGAAATTGGCACTTGAAGAATTTATTTGGATCTTCAATCTCTTCTGTTACAACTTGATACTTTTCTCATTAGTCATGCAGATCGTTCATTAGATTGATTCCTGAGTCTCCTATATTTGTTGTTATAGTAATTATACCTCTTTGTCACTGATGTACAGAAATGTAATTTATTTTTGAGTATTGATCCAGTGAACTTTGCCGAGCTGTCCTCCTTATTCTAAGACATTATCTGAGGATTCTTTTCTATTTTCTACGTAGGCCCTGCATTGATTATGAATAGGTTTTGTTTCTTCCATTCAAATAATTAAAGATTTTTATTTATTTATTTGACAGAGAGAGAGAGAGAGANAGAGAGAGAGAGAGAGATCACAAAT